CAGATGAACCGTTGAAAATAAGACTTGCATCCCTTTAGTTTCTTTCGTCATACTCTGGTGCAACAGCATTCTCTGGCATCACGATTTAAAAATCTTACTCCAGAGCTGAACAGCCTGGGTTTAAACCCTGGCTCTGCCATTTACCAGATGTGTGACCTCGGGCAAGTGAAATCACCTTTGTATGACTGTCTGCCTCGCAGGATGGCTAGTGCCTGGCAGGTACATAAGTATTCATTGTACTAAAGCAGATGTTCATATTTTACTATTGTTTTTACGGTTCCTTCTAACAGAGGGCTCTAGGCCAGCAGCATAAGCGCCAGGAAAGGTGTGCAGGTGATATAGGGATGGACGTGACAGAGCCCCTGCCAAACACTGCAGGGTCCAGGACAGAGATGGCGTGTCTGGGGCACTGTGTGCGGCCATGACACAGGCTAGAGGTGCGGGCTGCAGCAGTGAGAACACTGCATGGGGAATTGGTGTGACGTGCTCCCACACCCACCCTGGGCAGTCCAGACGCATGTGGCGGTGACCAGTGGCCGTTGGAGGAGAGGGAGGCTGTGGCAGCGTTAGAGAGGCTCAAGTAGCCGGTAACCCTAGTACCCTGATTAAACCGGTTTTGGTTTTGTGCGCTACTTTATCTGGATTTTCATGTAGTCTGTACTATTTTGTAATCTATTTTCAGCTAAACAATGTGTTTTTCTGTCTCTACCTTTTTTTTCTAAATATTTTAATTACAAAATGAGGACGCCGTTTTTCATTAAAGAAACAAAATCAACGGACGTGTTTTGGAAATTTCAGCACCGTTTGGTCCTTGTTGGGGAACCTTCATGGCTAAGCACAAGGCGGAAAGCTAAGGACGTTCTTTGTACATGGGATTTTCTCCTGTTTCTGTTACTCACAGTTAGAATTCTGGGTTTCACAATGAAGGTTGTGTAACATCTTCCCTAGGGTTGGGGTCAAGTTTTCTTACTCAAATTCTTAAGCAACGTATTGAATGGCTTCCTGCTCAAAGAATTGGTTTTGTGTCTGCAGTGGGACTGTTTAGTCAGACATTCAGAGCTTTTTTCCCACAGATGTTTTTATGGGGTCAGTGCTTTATCCTCCTTTCCATGAACTTTCATTTGTGGTAGGAGTCTGCCAAAAGCAGCGTTCTCGTGCAAGGGGCTGTGCCCCGTTCCAGAATGGAAGATGACATTTGAACTTGATGGGTATGTGCAGTTGAGAACCTTAGTTTTCCCACCCTTCCTTCTCAGATTGGTTGGAAAGAAGCGCCCTTAAGCAAGTAGTGGCAAGAATTAGCTCCAGCAGCTCATTTGGAAATTTGGACAAGGAATGCTGGGGCACTCTCAGAAGGGGGTGCTGAGTGCTCCCTGGCAGTCCCCCTTTCCTTTTTTTGGAGAGTCTTAGTGATATCAAATGTACCATGACCCTGTGCCTTGGGTCTTTTCAGTCTTGAGCCAGCCCTTGAGGCTTTACTGTTGACCTCGAACAGTGCCTTCTGTGTTGGCCTGGATGTGCCTTGTAGGAAAAGGAGATCCAAAGAGCTCTTGTTACTTAATGGTTTGTAACATTTAGGCAGCTCAATTAACTGCCCCTCTGAGCCTCCATTTTTCTCATTGGTGAAGCACTCTCCTCTCACCTGCCCTTAGGGGATGCAAATGAGAAATGGACAGGAAAAGGCTCTGCAGACTGGAATCCTTGAGCAGACAGCAGGTGAGGATGGTGTTCCTTCGAGAACTACAAGGGCCCGTCTTAGCTGCGGTGATGGGAAGACCTGGCTGGGTCTTGATCGTGGAAATAAAACCCTGAATTACAGTGGATGAAGATGGAAATCTTGGGCCAGGGTCAGCATGCCCAGCGTGTTCCTCAAAATATTCCCCAAGAAGGGTCTGTGCTTTCTGTGACAGAAACTTCACACCCTCTCTTCAGGTGGTTCTGGCTGTATCCAGATGTCCATGGCCTTGCCCCATGGCCTGGATGCACAGCTGGCTGTTATCTAGAATCATCTAACATATTATTCACCCTGAATCTTTTCCTAGGAAAATTAACTTAGTAAAGTACTATGCTCCCCTTTTTTCCCCTTAAGCTGTCTTCTTTTACTGTAGAATTTCAGGGCTAGTCTACTGATACTCAGATTCCTCTTCTGAGTTGAAAATTTCTGCCAAGTAGTTAGCTGTTCATAGTGATGCTGTTTTTTCCCGAGTACCCTTCCAAATCTTTTTCCTCATTGTGGTCTTTCTCTGTTCACCCTCATACCTTTCCTCGTTGCCCTTTTTCCAGCCTGTCCACGTGAAGGGCCTGAGACCTAGTGATCAGAGGTACTGGGTCTAGTGCTACTTTACTTTAGCTTTAGGAAAGTTATCCCAATTTAGAGAGAATTGTTTTTGAGAAGTATTAGTCTTGAATCTGGAAGGCTCCTCACCCACCCACCAAAAAACAAAGCTTGAAACTATCAGTGATTCATTTTCTAAAGAGACAACTAATGCTTCTAACTATATGAAATATTAATGCAAATACATTCTTGGTATCCATTTGAGCTCTCTTGTAGTTGCAAGTAAGGCCCATAGCAAAGGTGTACAGGACTTGGACCTCCAATTTGCTCATTAGGTTTGCCCACAAGCGCCTTTGAAATGACGTGACCTAAGGAGGGTGTGGACCATTGACTTAGGCATGGAAATTTTGAGTTATTCAGGCTGTAGGTGACTTGGGGTCCTTTAAAATGTAAGTAAGAAGTCAGAACTGTCTTGTATTTTTATTTCCTTCTTTGGAGGACATTTAAGAAGGCCTTTTCTTGGTGGCTCAGTGGTGGGAGCTTGAGGGGTGGAGGTGGGTAGTGGCAGGGAAGTGAGGGGAGCGATGGATGGTGGGGGTAGTCTCCACGGGTGAGCTGAGGGCACACACATGATTTCATTGTCTGCCGTGCGCTCTAGATGTGCAAAGGCTTTGGGGGAATAGAGGCTTGTTTTTTAAAAACTCTTTTTGTACGTCCATAAACAAAGCTATTTAGCAGTGGTAAATACAAGCAATTAGAGTAGGATCACTAAACAGATTTTAAGGGACATAAAATAGCTTGAGAATTTTGATTGATTAATCTAGGTTGTCCAACATGTAATAGCTCCATGGCATTCTCAACATGACTAATACTTCTTTTACCTTGGGACTATTTTTTAGAACCTAGTGAACTTAAAAATGCATATATATATATATATTTAAAGTAAGCACTACCCTTGATTAAAACATAGTCACACAGCTTTGTTCTAGAAGTTGGAGAAGAGTGGTTACCATTTGACATGGTAGCCTTGGTACCCCATTGCTTTGGCTGGAATTCCAACTCTGCCCTTAACACAGCTGGCTCTTTAAATCTGTATCCTCAGGTAAAAAAATGTGAATAAAAGTAATAGCACCTACTTCATAGACTCCCTGTATCAAGTTAAATAATGCACAGTGCATGGGATGCAGTACTACTTTGGGGTTCTTTTATAAGGATAACGGCTCAGTCATAGAATTAATCTGAAATTTTTTCACAGTGTATTGCCGGTCCACTTTTTTGGTTTGTCTTTCAATGTCAAGCTTATCTAAATGGTTATTTTTGTGTAGGTCGTCTATCTCAACAGTGTTAGACTCTGGAGTTATATCCCCAGCAAACTGTGTCTTACTCTTCCTTTGTTCTTCTATTGACTGTAGACTGAAATCTGTTCTTGGCCTTTGATAGTTCACTAAAATGTCATTTTAATTTCTCTTTTCTTTTTTCTATAAACAGCAGAGATCATAAGTATATATTTTGAGCTTTGACAAATGTATACATACACCCATGGATTTCTCATTCTAATGAAGGCATATGTAGTACATTTCTATACCCTAGAATGTTCCCCTCCTGCTTCTGTCCATCACTTTCAAATATCTAGGACCTAGATTAATTTTGCCTTCTTGAACCTGACACGAATGGAATTTGAGGTCTGCCTTTCTCTCTTAATGTACTCTTGTTGCTAGTGGCAGTAGTTTCCTTTTTATTGCTCAGGGTTATTCCATTGTATGGACATACCACAGTCTGATCATCTATTCTTCTGTTGATGGTGTTTGGGTCGTTATCCGTTTTTGGATATTGGGATAAAGCTGGTATGACTCTTTTCATTTTATGTCTTTGAGCACTCAGTGTGGTTAGTGGCTCCTTCACCTCCTGGCTGTTCAACCCTGGGCAAGTGTCTTAATCTCTCTGCCCTTGTTTTCTAATCTATGAAATGTTGGGTTGGGAAACAATATAGGACTGGGGCCACCACTTTTTAAAAAATGAAATGCAATAAAGTAAAAAAATTGGAAAGAATTATGTGGAGCTACACATACTACAACACATAAATGCAGGGCAGGGCAAAAGTAGGTTTACAGTTTGTATGGAAAATAGTACAATCATTAAATAATAGTACAAGAATAAACTTTGTTTCATGTACTCAAAACTATAAACATACTTTTGCTCTACGTTGTAAAGCTATGTGTGTGTACATGTATGTACTGGATCACAATATAAAATGTATTTGTTATTATCAATTGTGGACAAATCAGTTTGCAGCTCACTGGTTTGTATGTGTCCTTGTAAGCAAGGAAGTTGAACAGCTGTGAGGTTATTTAGTAAATGCATATTTTTGCCTTCTGGTGTCTAAAACAGCCACAGTGTTAACAGCTACTTACATACTGCTTGCTGTGGGCCAGCCACTGTTTTAAAAGCTTTACATGTAAAGTCATTTAGCCCGCAAACCCATTCTGTGAAGTGGGTTATTATCTCCATTTCATAGATGGAGAAGCTGAGGCATCAGTTCTACAACTGGCCCGAGGTCACACAGCTAGAATGATAGGGCCATGATTTGGAACTAGGCCATCTAAGTCTAGAATCTGTGTTCTAACCCACTCCTCCAAGGAAGGTAACAACAAAGAGGCAAGTGACATATGTGAGCAAATGCACATTAATAATTATTCAATTAATACAATGCTCCTCCCTTTTGTTCCAGATATGAGAAATGAGTGTTGGACGTCGGAGAATAAAGTTGTTGGGTATCCTGATGATGGTAAATGTCTTCATTTATTTGATTGTGGAAGTCTCCAAAAGCAGTAACCAAGAAAAAAATGGAAAGGGGGAAGTAATAATACCCAAAGAAAAGTTCTGGAAGACATCTGACCTTCCTGTGGCATATTGGAACCGAGAACAAGAAAAGCTGAACAGGCGGTACAATCCTATTTTGGGCATGTTGGCAAACCATACAGGGGAGCTGAATGGGTTTTCCAACATAAGCCATCTGAATTACTGTGAACCTGACCTGAGGGTCCAGTCTGCAGTTTCAGATTTCAACAATTTGCCAGACAGGTTTAAAGACTTTCTGCTGTATTTGAGATGTCGAAATTACTCACTGCTTATAGATCAACCAGATAAGTGTGTAAAGAAGCCTTTCTTACTGCTGGCGATTAAGTCCCTCATTCCACATTTTGCTAGAAGGCAAGCAATTCGGGAATCTTGGGGCAGAGAAACCAACGTGGGGAACCAAACAGTGGTGCGTGTCTTCTTACTAGGCCAGACACCCCCAGAGGACAACCATCCTGATCTTTCAGATATGCTGAAATTCGAGAGTGAGAAGCACCAAGACATTCTTATGTGGAACTACAGAGACACTTTCTTCAACTTGTCCCTGAAAGAAGTACTCTTTCTCAGATGGGTGAGCACTTCCTGCCCAAACGCTGAGTTTGTGTTTAAGGGCGATGATGATGTTTTTGTGAATACCCATCACATCCTGAATTACTTGAATAGCTTATCCAAAAACAAAGCCAAAGATTTGTTTATAGGTGATGTGATCCACAATGCTGGACCTCATCGGGATAAGAAGCTGAAGTACTACATCCCAGAAGTTGTTTACACTGGCGTCTACCCGCCGTATGCTGGAGGGGGTGGATTCCTCTATTCCGGCCACCTGGCCCTGAGGCTGTACAATGTGACTGACCGGGTCTTTCTCTACCCCATTGATGATGTTTATACTGGAATGTGCCTTCAGAAACTTGGCCTCGTTCCAGAGAAGCACAAAGGCTTTAAGACATTTGATATAGAAGAGAAAAAAAGGAATAATATTTGTTCCTATTTAGATTTGATGTTAGTACATAGTAGAAAACCTCAAGAGATGATTGATATTTGGTCTCGGTTGCAAAATGCTCATTTAAATTGCTAAAATGTACACAAACTACATTTTTCATAGAGATATCTTGGATAGTTTCCACATTGTGTTCTATCATTAGGGCAAATTCCTATTTTCAACCATCAAAATTGCCTTCATAAGTAGTATCTATTTGAGGGCCTCTAAACCCTTCAATGTGGTACTTTCTGAAGAGGGAAAGCAGAAGCTCGTAATTTTTAAAGAAGGATATGGCAGGACAGTTGGTTCTAATTCTTCTTTTTGGTTAGTGGTCATTATTTTCTAATTTGCCCCCTTCTTACCTGAAATAATAAGTTTTTGGAACTTGACTATTTTAAGTTATTTTTGTTTCACTCAAATATGGTAATATTCCTACTTTCCATTATAATAAGTGAATTATCTGCAATTTAGGTGTTTATAAAACTATTGTATACAAATGATTTGCTATATGTGGTTCAACAGTTTTTGTGAAGTGGAATAAAATTTGTTATTATAAAATCTGGGTGATTTTTTAAAAATTGTCCAGAAAAATTGACTTCTGTCTAAATTTCCTGCCACCCCAGCAGTATTTTCTTGTGTTAATACAATCAGTTAATTTTGCAAAATGAGACTCACTGTGTTACCCAGTTTATCTTGTTACGGTCATGGTACGGAGACTGTAATACAGGAACACAGTGATTGTTCTTGTGTTTGGTTTGCTACATGGTATCATAATAGTTCTCTGTTTTTAGTGTTTGCAAATAACGAGTATGATTCCATAATGGCCAACTGAAGGTTGAATTGACACTGGCAGCCATACTGTGTTTATGATTTTTTAATGTGGACCAGGAAAGCATATGCAGCTTTCGAACTTGAAGTGAAAAGACCGAAGTGGCAGACCTTGTCGTGAGTGGATCCTGGATTCAGTTCTTGCCATATCTTCACATGTTGCTTATACAAAATTATCTGAGTAGCAGCTGCTTCCCTGTCTCAGTGTAGAAGTGCCTGTGTTTTTATTTATTGTTCAGATCAACGACCAAAACATTTTCTTAAATATATTTTGTGTAATATTTTATTTGTATACAGTGTTGTTGATAAAATATTTAACTAGAGCATGTTATTTTAAATGCAAGGTGTAACATATGTTAAATAAAGCTGTTATTTTTGAATTTTAGAATTCATTTTTTGGGGAGCTGTGAACTGCTAGAGTTGACAACATTCTGCCAAACCGTTGATTATATATACCATCTTGTAACATGCTTTCTTGAAATTTTTTTGTGTTTATAGAGATCAGGATTCTTAACCAAATGTAATTCTGGGGATTATACAAAGATTAAAATAAAAGTCATTGCATTTTTAATTGTCATTTATAATGGGTAGTAATCTATGATCTCTTTTTGCTTTCTGCGTTTGATTACACTTTCCCCAAAGAAGCCATTCCCACTCTCCCCACCACGAAACTATTATAGTGATATTGAACTATAACTTCTCTGTCTCAGTGAGTCATCTGTCTTTACATTTAAAATCCTTAAAAGTGCTTTCCCAATTCAAGTCCTTAAAGAGGAGTATGTATATTTATTTATGTTTTCAGTGAGTATAAAGAATTTAACTAGAAAATGGAGCAGCGTTTTTTAAAGAAATTATGTTCATTTTGGGGTTTGTATGCACTGTGATGAAATACAGAGGCAGCCTGCTGTAGCTGGGTAGATCAGTTGCTCGGCACATTATCCTGCTATGCCAGGGTTGCAGGGTTGGTCCCAGTCAGGGCACATACAAAACTCAAGCAATGAAGACATAAGTAAGTGGAAGAACAAACCAATGTCCCTCTCTTCCTCCTCCACCCTTCCTCTTTCTCTCTCTTTCAAATCAGTTAACTAAAATCAAGAAGGGGGGGCAGCCTTTACCCCTCAAGTTTCTCACCTAGATTCATGTTGAGAAGAAATTGCCAATCGTCAGGTAAGAGCAAGGAGACATTTGATGAAGCTCAAAAAACAGAAAGGATCACTGTTAGACCATTTAGCAGACTGTCCTCTCCTATTGGGAATGTTGAGCCCATATATGAGCAATTACGAGGACACAGATAGTGAACGTGGGCTGGAAGACTGTGGTAAACTTGGTCCTTCTAAAGGTTTCATGTGCTTGCATCTGGCCTCTCCAGTGGTTGCTAGCACACCTCCTGGAGAGCAGCGTTAGCACATTAGGTTTAGAGCAGAATAACAACGCTTTCAGAAATTTCACTGGTAATTGGTTCACAATTTGCATGTGTCTATGTAACTTGACCATGTGTTTTCAGGTGACAGATTTTTCCTCTGAGGGGACTTTCTTTAATTTTTTCTTCCAGGGAGTTCTTTTTCACTTTCAAGTCTGCAGAGAAAGAAGGGATGTAGCAGCTTTTGAAATATGTTTGGAGGGCTACTGAGGGCTTCTTGTGAGGCTCCAGTTGACACATGCCATTGTTTGAACATAAATCCTTGGTGCTGCTGATGTTTAGTGGGTGAGATGATCCCTGGCCCCTCTTTAATAGGACAGAACTTCTCGTGGAGTGGTTACCTGAGTCCATAACACTGGTCATCCATCTCATGGGCTTTTCAGCAAAGGGATACTTAGGTTTTAGAGCTCTGCACAGGCCTGGGCTCAATCATGGCACTGATGGGTCCTTCAGTCTGGACGCCCTCTCTTGGTGCCCACAAGGTGGATTCTCCCCTGAGCCTCTGTCCTATGAATGTAAGCGTCACAGTTAACTTATTCTTTCAGAACTGATCAGTAATGGAGAGCTCAGTGAAACTGGCATTTGGATTTTTTTTTCATGGCCACTCCCATGTCTTGTTGATTTTAAGTTTGAAAGTCAAAGGCTGAATAAACATTGCCAGGGTTTAAACTTTTCCTAAACTCAACCAGGCCTTAAGAGGAAAAGGATGAAAGATACCAGAATGGCTTATTGCCATCCTTGACCCTGGTTATACCCATCTCTATTTTTTTAAATCCTCACCTGAGGATATGTTTTTATTGACTTGAGAGAGAGAGAAGCAAGGGGAGAGAGAGAGAGAGAGACATCAATCAGTTGCCTTCTGTATGCACTCCAACTGGGGATCAAATGTGCAACCTAAGTATGTGCCTTGACAGGGAATCGAACCTGCAACTTTTTGGTGTACGGGGTGATTCTCTAACCAACTGAGCCACTCAGCCAGGGCTACCTATCTTTATTCTTGAGTTGGTTGAGGGAGAATGGAAAAGAAGGGCAGGACATTGAAGGAATACTTTTGAGTCACATTTGGAAATTGGTCCCAGAATTAAAGGCCCCCAAAATGTGACCATCTTCTACTTTAATACTCCTGATTGATAATGGACTGGAATATTTGATATTCTAGTTTGTATTGGCCCTCATGCAGAAAGAGAGAATGCATTTACTAAGGCGGAGGGTGACTTATTTTCACTTCTGGGAAAGCAGAAAGGAATGAAGCCTTTATTTGGACCAAAAGTTTACTTCTCTGTGATTTACCTTATGAAACATGTCAAGTGAAGTAAAAATTCTTATTTGGAACAGGAAAACAAATACTTCATGTCCCAGGCTATTAAGATTATTGGATAAATTCAGTTTTTTCTTAGTGTTAGTTCTATATTGATTTTATTCTTTATCTGCTAGGAACATCTACCAAATAATTTTGATGAACTTTAGCATTAAAAATAAATTAGAAAAATTAGACTATGATCCTGATTAATTTAGGTTTTAAAGTAATATATTAGAATTTTTTTGGCCCATGATATTAAATCTTGAAAGGTAGAGGTCATGAAAGACATTTTTGTCTTTAGGGAGCCCCCAAAATCTTGTCATTTTGCATGTGAATTATCATACTTAATAATTTTAAGATGCAATAGTTTTATATACCACTAAAAGCTGCCAATTCAGTATGATTTATATCAAATGTACGATGTGCCCTAATTGCAGAGATATTAAAATATGAAAGGTTGTATCTTAGAATACTGAAATACATCATTTGTGTGTATGTATGCACACAATAATACACTAATACTGTATTTCAGTTACACACACATACACTCTTAAATTGGAAGGTGGCATCTTGTTTAGGTATATTTCCTGCTTCTCTCCTTGCCTCTCGCTTACTGCGTTTAGGAATTTTCACCAAAGCAACTATGGTGGCTTTGAGCTTTGACAGTTGCTTTCTTCCTGCATATTGTGTACTGTAAAAGGGGTTGTATTGATTGCACTGAAGTCACAAAGTAAAATTTTTAATTTGATTGTATTCCAAGGGCTTATTTGTAAGCCAGGGCCTGGTAGTGGAACAAAGGTGCTTGCAGCTTCCCGACAGCTGCCTGGCATCAGGGGAAGGTGCTTTTATCCTCTCAAGCAGCAGGTCGTGTGAACTGGCATCCTAAGTGTTAGCGAGGGCTCGTTCATTGCCCTGGAAACCTACCATCCTGTGACCAGCACTAACCCAGCTTGTCTTCAACTAATGTTCTCTTCCTGCTCATTACCTAAGCCCTGTCCTCCATGCTGCCCTCTGTGCAGAGCTCAGAAGCCAGGGAGGTGGCCTTTGGAAGGGGGCTCTGGGACTCACAGATCTCCAACCCTGCCCAGACAGCACCCCTTCAGCACCCGCCAAAACATCCCTAGGTGGGTGGGAAGTGGCCAGGCCCTCCCAGCCTCAGACAGGCCCTACCCAACATCTCCCTGTACACTAGAGAAAAGCCCAGCTCTTGCTTTCTTAAAATTAATGAACCTCCGGGCTCTTTCTCTTCTTCAAGAGTCTGAGGTGCTGGGCTTACAATGCCTTTTTCCACTTGCCCAATCTCATTGCAAAATGTGCACAGACATGAAGTCTTAACTAATGATTGGATAATATATTTTCCAATCTTGTGGGGTGGAGAGAAGAAAATAAAAACAGAACTTTGTTAGAACATGTCAAAGACAGTCAAGAGGCACGCTTATAGGGGCCTAGCAGGAAGGACGCAAACAACAGGTGCCAAGGTCCAGCACAGTAACGAGGCGCAAATCCTACCTGTTTTGTTCATTGGAACCTTTGCAGAGGAACATGTTCCATCCCAGTGCTGCAGTCAGCCAGGAGGCCAAAGGTGCAGATCCTGCGGCCTCTCATCTGCTGTAATCCTGGCTGGTGAAGTGGGAGAAACTCAGAGAAGCACAAAGGAAATCAAAATAATCAAATGTGGACAAAATAGCAATAATTTCTCATTTAGTTTTCCTCTTGTGGGATATGAGAAATGAGTGGTGAACATTAAGGGATAAAGTTGAAGGGCTTCAAGTTGGTGGGAAATGCCTTTATTTGGTTGCAAAAGCCTCTAAAAGTGAGTCACCATGGAAGGAATGTAGAAGGAGGGGTTGTTTCATTGATGCCTCATCAACGAAAGCTACAGAAGTATCTTACTCACCAAGTCGTCCTGAATTGAAGAACAAGACAAACGGAAGTTGCAGAACAATCCCACTGAGAACCTGCTGCCCCATGAGGCTAGGGAGGGACATTTCATAGAAGGAGACAGCCTGTCTCGTCAGTCACACCTCCAGAAATTGCAGGGGTGCTTATTGAAGTGAGTGCTAGCACCCTTCCTGTGAGTGAGTACCTGCTCAACGGATAAGGGCAACTATAGCAATGTAAAAAAACCCAGCTGTGGCAGACTTTTAACAATATGTCAGACGATTGAAGATAGTTTCTACTTTATCCAAAGTCTGAACATTTTTCGTTGCTGGTAGACCAACCCAATAAGTTACCCCTCTGAGATGAGATTGATTTGTTTGGAGAATCTTGTACTTAGAAAACAAATTTTAAAATACTTTTAAATTTTTAAATTGGAATTTTTGACTTACAGAAAAGTTACAGGGTAGAGTACCTATATACCTCCACCTAACTTCTTTAATGTTAACATTTTACAAAGCCTATTACAATGTTCGGAATCAACATTGGACCAGCCAATGGCAGGAAGTCAACACTGATGTAACTGTTACCCTACACTAAGACTTTCTTTTGAATCTTAACCATTTTTTCTCACTAATGTTCATTTTCAGTTCCAAGATTCTGTTCAAGTTCCCACATTGCATTTAGTTATTTTTCCTTCGTCTCCTCCAATCTGTTGCAGTTTTTAACCTTCCTTGCCTTCCATGACTAATGCTTTTGAAGAGTAGTGGCCCTTATAGAATGTCCTTCCATTTGAACTTGTCTTATGTTTTCTCAGGATTAGAATGAGGTTTCTCCTCTGTAACTATCTTTCCCTTTGTAGTTAAGAAACACCATGGAGGACTTCTGTGCAATTAAAAGTTTATACATTTGAAGCCTGGCATGCAGTCAGTGCTCAGTGAGTGGTAGCTGTGGCTTTTTTCATGATTGTCATTGTTTCCCTATCTCAGTTCTGTCC